AAGACGCAGAGAGATTCCTTCACTTTAAATAGCACCAACCATTTATCAATGTAAATACACTCCCACCAACCACCTAGTATTAACCCAACCCAAGAAGCCTAAAGATTGATTCTAGATCTAAGCTCTCCCAGTTCCTATTCTGCATAATTCACTCCTTCATTTATTTCTTAGTAAAGGTTAATTTTCATTTATGCTCTTCTCTTTCTCTTTCAACGTTTTATTTGCAAGATTTTGATCTATCTCTCTTCCAACGTTTTTTCAATCACATGATTTTAGTTGTATTTCTGTTTTTGAATTGAAATCTAAATTTCTATATATTGTGTTGATTTTTAGTTTCATCTTAAAGGATTTCTTTTCTTTTTCAATATTGACACATTCACTAACATGTGATTATTTTTCCCTTTTTAGTGCAAGTGTTGAATATTTCAGGTTGTAGAAGTTTTTAAGAAGATGGCATGTGATTATTTTGACGAGACTCAATCATTTGCAATTATATCAACTGTGATTTCTTTGATTAAAATATAAGGTATTCTGTTTATAGTACAAAAAGGCTTTTAATTAATGATTTATTTGATTGTCTAATTACTTATATAAAAATAAAAACTACAATCATATATAACATGTATTCTCTGTTCACTACAATAAAACATCAAATTTGTGGGGTAAATGTGTCGGGTGATAATCACTTCGGAGAGGTTGCACTATGCTAAAATTGACTTTAGACAGCGTCACATAGACAACGCTTATGCCTAAAGTGATGCTATAGGTTTTCAGAAAAATTAATAATTAAAAATTAAAGGAGAAGCGCTGCTAAAGGTATACTATAGACAGCGTTTATTATAAGCGCTGCTATAGGCCTTACCATAGACATCGCTTTCTTTCCCTAAGCGCTGCTATAGGTTTTCAGTAAAAAAAATTAAAAAATTAGAATAAGTGCTGCTAAAGGTTATACTTTAGACAACGCTTACTAAAAGCACTGCTAAAGGCACTACGCCAAAAACTGCTTTTGCCAGCGCCTCTACTAAAGCGCTTATTGAAAAAGCGCTGCCATAGCCTTCACAAAAAACAAAATTAAAAAAAAGGGAAACCTACGAAGGCGCTTTTTTAAAAGCGCTGGCATAGGTGGGGGATACGAAAGCGCTTATTGAAAAAGCGCTGCCATAGCCTTCACAAAAAACAAAATTAAAAAAAAGGGAAACCTACGAAGGCGCTTTTTTAAAAGCGCTGGCATAGGTGGGGGATACGAAAGCGCTTTTTTAAAAGCGCTGGCATAGGTGGGGGATATGAAGGCGCTTTTTAACAAGCGCTGGCATAGGTGGGGGATACGAAAGCGCTTTTATAAAAGCGCTGGCATAGGTGGGGGATATGAAGGCGCTTTTTAAAAAGCGCTGGCATAGGGGGGGATACGAAAGCGCTTGTTTAAAAGCGCTGGCATAGGTTAGTTAAATAATTTCTAAACCCCTAAATTTACAATCAGATTTCTAAACCCAGCTGATACAAAAAACGAAACCCAGTTGTTCATCTTCTTCTCCATTCGTCTGCTCCTATTCAAGCTCTCTTCATCCTTCGTCGTCCTCACTTTCATAACAACCTATTCAAGCTCTCTTCATCCTTCGTCGTCCTCTCTTCATCAAACTGTAATTTACATTCAGGTGTTGTTTCTTTCCCATTCAATTTCATCTCAACATTGATTCATCATCACCCACTCTAACTACTTTACTTTATTACATTAATTAGGGTTTCGTTCTCAAAGTTTCTTGTTATTACAAAACCCTTCAACAGTTAGCAAGAACGAAACCCAAGGGATTTTGAAGGTTGGCTGTTACTTGTTAGAGGAAAGATCTAAAAGTTCATTTCACTTTTTCCATTTCTTTGGTTTGAGGTAAGAATTCTTACTCATTTTTCTTAGTTTTAGATATTGCATATTAACTGTTTGTGAAATGTTCTACATGATTGTTCCTAATTAAGGGTATGTTAGAGGGTTAGGAAAATGAAGTTGGATTTATGGGTCCTAATTTTAGGTGTATACTAGCTTAAAATTCACAAGTACTTAAGTTGTTGGTGTTCATTTGTGTTTTTCCCTCTTTTAGATGATTTGTGTGTGATTAATCGTTAATAGACATTCATATATTGTCAGTCATCGATAGTAAAAATGTCAAAGGCAACACTTAGTACGGATCCGGTAAAAAAAGTCTGGGAAGAACGATGTTGGAATTTGGTATTTGTATTGTAATAGATTGTAGAACAGATAAAAGGAGTCGGATAATAGTGTTACGTTATCGAAACTGAATAAAAGATGCACCTATCAACTGTGAGATTTGTGCAAAGAAGAGAAGCAATATTTTCAAACTTTATGGACTGTACTAAGAGGGTGTGAGTTATGCTTGGAGATACTTCAAGTGGGATTATAAATTTCTAATCCTATCTACACTGTAGACAAAAGAATTAATCACACAAAGGAAATTATAACATTACTACTAAAAAAGTTATAGCTAAGAAAATGTTTTAATAGGCTTGTATATTTTGCATATAAGTCTTACTGAGATTTTTATCTCATTAGTTTAAGTTTATATTTCAGCTTAAGTGCTTAACAGGACAGATAGATTACATATAGATTACATGTGGTTTTCACAGAATGATGCTCCATAAATTTTTCACAGAATGATGGCATGGTACAAGACTATTGAGTTAGGGAACCATCTGGGATTGGGCAGGGAAGGAATGTTAATGAGTATAATACTAGGTGAGGGATAAGATGAGGATAAGAGGGATAGAGATAAACCTAATGATGAGTTTCATATGATTGTCTAGGTTGTAAATTTGGAAATCTATAAGGAGAAATGATTAGATGCAGTGGAATTAACATAAGGGGATCATTGAGATGTGAAATCTTATCCTACACGCAATATTAAGGAAAATCATATAGACCATAATTAGAGTTTACAAAACATTTGTTTACTCAGTTACAGCAACCAAACTTTCATAACCCCTGATTATTACTCAAACAATAGTGAAATTATGTCACCTTCAGGCATCAAACTTGTTTCTTGAAGTTAAATGATTAAGCAGCAGAGCAGGGTATCAACAAACATGATATAAGAACAAATATAATTAGGGTTAAGCTTTGTTGAAGAAAGAATATGACTAAAGTAGGCGGTGCCAAAAGCTTCAACCCAAGTAGTTATAAAAAGATTTTATATTTATCATAAATCTCATTGACAAAATCTTCACTTAGAAAAAAAAATGCATACAACAAAAGTTTCAATTAAGTCTGAAGGAGTATGAACAAAGTGAACACACCCTTGAGATTATTGCTGTTCCAGAATAACCAAGCTTAGAAACACTACATGTCCAAAAGCTGTTCTCATAGCCATCTAGCAGTCGCTGTTTTATTTCCTCGATATCCTTCTCCTGTTAGCAAAACCAGAGCACTCATAAATTGGAGAGAAAATGGCCTCTAAAGAATTTTCAAATAAACACAAACGTCATGGTTGATAGATTTTATCAGGCAGCAAGACTGTCAGAAGTAGCTTCTCCCAATTTATTCTTTCTACCTGAAGTTTAGTCTCTTGCAAGCACAATACATCGAAGTCTTCCCTTTGAGCAAGTTGAAGTGCTGAGAATCCCTCTAATTTTAGCAATGCTCTCAATCCATTGACATTCCAAGACAAAAGCTTGACAAATTTTGTATTCCTAGAAAGAGGCAGGGGTCTCATGGTTCTAGGATTATATGCAATCCAATCCTTTTGAGGTTTCTTGTGAGCAAGAACAGCCCATGTTTCAGTTTGAATAGTGGTTGTTGTACTGATTTCATCTGATTGTGCTACAATGCTAACAACATCTGAAGACACTTTTCTCTTCGCCCTAGAAGGCTTAACATCTGACAAAAACAGCCATAGACGATTAATTTAATCACTGCATGAATTACACTTGAACAAAAATTGACAAGCCATGAGACCAATAGAGAGAGACAAAGAATTATGCTAAATATTTCAGAATAGAAAGTTTAGAACACAACCTGAAACCTCGTCTGATTTAACCAACAACTTCTTTTTGGTTGTCGCTTTGACAATTTTTCTTTCAGGTTCTGATTGTTTAAACCTTTTCTTACCCTGGTTAAGTTCAACTGTCTCTGGAGTATCATTAACATCATCGACAGTCATGGTGTCTACAATAGACGGATCATTTCTTAACATTTCAACCTCAATGGAATAGCTATCAACATCATTTTCCTATATTATCAAACATATAGTGAATAATCAAAAAGAAATAGAGACAAAAATGAGAGTATGAATGAAACATGAATCAGACCTTAACAATAACATGGTTAGAAATGGGTTGTTGTGAACTTGAAAAGGGTGTTTTCAGTCTTTTAGACCCCATTGGTTTCACAGGTATAGAACTCTTGGAACTGAAACGCTTCTGAATACTACAAAACTACAACATTATTACTCAGTTACAGCAACCAAACATTTATTCCCGAAAAAAAAAACAAATGTATATAACCCCTGATTATTACTCAGTTACAGCAACCAAACATTTTATATTTTCAAAACATTATTACTCAGTTACAGCAACCAAACTTTCATAACCCCTGATTATTACAAAACATCTTTCATACTTTAAGGCTTGAACTTCCTGTATGGTCTGCCGTTATCTTCATCTTGCATATGCTGTAATCATAAATTAAAAAAGTCATGTCTAGGTGCAAAGAAAATCAAGATGAATTGAAAACTATAGAGCGTCATTTAACAATTAACAATACATTGCTTTTAAAATTTGATTTGAACCTAACTAAGACTTGACAAAGCTAACTTGTAAGATAAGGACTGAATATAATTGTTTGAAATCCGACTTCACTATTGTTTGAATATAATTGTTATTACCTGTATCCAAGACTGAATCACTAGTATCCGACTTCACTAGTTAGTAATTAGTGATGAGTTGTTTAGCACATGCTTAAGGTGAGGCAAGAATAACTATGAATTTGATTACCTGATATGTTGAATTTCTTTACAGGTAATTAATTATTATTTTGCTATAGTTGCGTGACTAATTAGTTGCTATAGTCAAACCATGGATAAAAAATGGATGACTGCCAATCGATTGTCGAAAGAGTATGAGGATGGGGTATCAGAATTCGTTAAGTTTGCCGTTGCGCACGCCAGAGAACCCAATGGAATGATATGTCCTTGCTTGAGATGCTGTTATGGGAGACGGGTTGACGCAGTTCAGTTGGAATCGCATTTACTGATGCATGGAATTGATAGAAGTTATACATGTTGGACAATGCATGGTGAGAAAAGTACCGGGAATGTTGAGTCGAGTTGTAATAGGAAGTATGCTTCAAACGACGATTGCACAGACACATACGATTGTGATCGAGTCGAAGAGATTGCAGAAGCGCTTGAAGAAGATCTTGCGGATTGTCCCAAAATGTTTGAGAGGTTGGTAAGCGATGCAGAGAAACCGTTGTATATTGGTTGTTCAAAATTCACAAGATTGTCTGCGGTGTTAAAGTTGTACAACTTAAAGGCGGACAATGGATGGTCGGATAAAAGTTTCACAGAGTTATTAGCCCTTATGAAAGATATGCTACCAGAGGATAATGTTCTTCCCAATCGAACGTATGAAGCCAAAAAGATGTTGTCTTCTATTGGAATGAGCTATGATAAGATACATGCATGTCCAAACGATTGCGTTTTGTTTCGAAACGAGTATGCAGCGTTGAATGAGTGTCCTAAATGTGGTGCCCCTCGATATAAGAAAAAGTTGTCTCCTGCTAAAGTCTTATGGTATTTTCCTATAATTCCGAGATTTAGACGCATGTATCGTAGTGAGACCGATTCAAGACACTTGACTTGGCATGCAGATGAAAGAATTATTGATGGAAAGTTGCGACATCCGGCAGACTCACCACAATGGAGTAAAGTTGATACTGAATATCCTGAATTTGGAAAAGAAGCAAGAAACCTTCGGTTGTCATTGTCTACTGATGGAATGAACCCGCATGGTATTCAAAGTATCTCGCATAGCACATGGCCTGTGATTCTTATGATTTATAACTTACCTCCGTGGCTATGTATGAAGCGTAAGTACATGATGTTATCTATGCTAATTTCTGGGCCTAAACAACCAGGGAATGACATAGACGTATACTTGGCACCCTTAATCGAAGATTTAAAGTTTTTGTGGGAGAGAGGTGTGGAGGTTTACGATGGGTATAGGAAAGAAAGTTTCAACTCGAGGGCGATGTTGTTTGTAACAATTAATGATTTTCCAGCATACGGAAATCTATCCGGGTACAGCAACAAGGGTCAAAAGGCGTGTCCTGTTTGTGAAGATGAAACCGATACGACACGATTGGCGCTTTGTCAGAAGAATGTCTTTCTCGGCCATCGTAGATTCTTAAATTCTAATCATCACTACCGTGGGTGGAGAAAAGCATTCAATGGAGAGGCCGAACATCGTACAGCCCCGCCTTTTTTGTCAGGTGATCAAATTTTTGAAAAGGTGAAAGATGTGAGCACTCAGTTTGGCAAGCCTTTTGCACATTCAATTGTCAAGGGTGGGTGGAAGAAGAAGTCAATTTTCTTTGAACTTCCATATTGGAAGTCGTTGTACGTAAGACATTTCCTGGATGTTATGCATATTGAAAAAAATGTATTTGACAGCGTTATAGGTACGCTACTCAATATACAAGGAAAGTCTAAGGATGGCGTTAACATAAGGAATGACATGGTAAACATGGGGATGAGAACTGAATTGGGGCCCGTGACGAAAGGAAGACGAACATATCTGCCACCTGCTGTTTACACTCTATCTAGAAAGGAGAAGAAAACATTGTGTAAGTTCCTCAGTGAAGTAAAAGTTCCAGAAGGCTACTCTTCAGATATTAGAAGACTTGTGTCCATGAAAGACCTCAAGTTAAAGAGTTTGAAGACGCATGATTGCCATGTTATAATGGAACATTTTTTACCAATAGGTATACGTTCTATTCTGCCAGAAAAAGTAAGAAGCGCAATAACTAAGCTGTGTTTCTTCTTCAGGTCTATTTGCAGTAAGGTGGTCGATCCCGCGATCTTACCAACATTGCAAAATGAGATAGTTGTTACTTTATGTGATCTTGAAATGTATTTTCCTCCCTCGTTTTTTGACATAATGGTTCATCTAGTCGTTCATCTTGTGAAAGAGACACAACTGTGCGGACCAGCTTATATGAGATGGATGTACCCTGCTGAACGTTATATGAAAATATTAAAAGGGTACGTGAAAAACAGAAGTCGACCAGAGGGTTGTATTGCCGAGCGATACGTTGCTGAAGAAGCGGTTGAGTTTTGTACTGAATATCTGTCAAATGTTCAATCAATTGGACTCCCCAAATCTCATATTGTCGAAAAAAAAGAAGGAAAAAGGCTAATTGGAAATAAAGTTGTGACAGTATCAATGGTCGAACGGGATCAAGTGCACTTGTATGTTCTGCACAATGAGATTGAGGTTGAGCCGTTTGTTGAAATGCACAAAGTTGTTCTCCGAGATTTAAATCCAAATAGAAATGAGAACTGGATAGTACGAGAGCACAATCGAAGTTTCATACCGTGGTTTAGAGATCATATTTATTCAAAGTATCGTTCAGATCCTGCTTCAGTAACAGAAAGGTTGAGATGTTTAGCCTATGGTCCATCTGTAATTGTGCTTTCTTATAGCGCATACGCAATTAATGGATACACATTTTATACCAAAGAACAGGATGATAAAAGTACTATGCAAAATAGTGGTGTTACCTTGGTAGCTGAAGCTATGCACATATCAAGTGCGAATGACTTAAATCCGAAATTTGCAAATTTGTCATATTTTGGGGTTATCGAGCGCATTTTGGTGTTTGATTACGCGAAGTTTCAGATTCCTGTATTTGGTTGCAAGTGGGTTGAAAATAATAGTGGCGTACGAATGGATAAGTCAGGATTTTTGCAAGTGGATCTCAATAGGGTAGGGTACAAAGATGAGCCTTTCATTCTAGCCTCTCAAGCTAAACAAGTGTTCTATGTCAATGATCCGACAAGTACAAAATGGTCTATAGTGCTTTTATCTAACAAAATAGTTGATGAAAAAATTGAAGATCAAGGTGATATTGGTGTTGGCATTGAATCTTGTACAAGAAACGATCAAAATGAGAATGAATCTTGTATTAGAAATGATCATAATGAGGGTATTTGGATCAATCCAACCGTCCGCATTGTTAAGAGACGCGTAGTACACAATCCTACCAAGAAAAGAAAGAGACGTTAGTGATAAAGTTAGTGTTAATAGTGTACTAATGTGCTTTAGTTTGTTTGATACAGGTTCAATGGCTCCAGATAGAGACGCTCCACCTGAAAACCCACCTGAAAACTCACAAGAAAACTCACAAGAAAGAGTTGCTTCGGATACAAATGCTCCACCTGATACTGAAGCAAAAGAGGTTGCACGAGGCATCACTATTATGAAGGGAATCATTCGACATAGAGACCAAGGATTAGTATACCGATTGGAATGGAATTCTGATAAACAACCAATTGGTCCTAATTCTGCAAAGTTGACAAGTTATATTGGTACACTTGTCCGTATGCATATTCCGGTCTCCGTAGCTACCTGGAAATCGAAAACGAAAAATTTAGAATTGGAGGAGAAAAAATAAGCGATTTGGGAAGAGCTTCAGGTATATATCATATATGGTTAATTGTTGTTATTATCTTGACGATAAATTGTTTAAATTACTTATACTAACACACTATGCGTACGTTTTTTTGCAGAGGACTTTTGAGATACCAGATGAACGTAAAAGCTACATACTTAGTTTGGCCGGCAAAAGATATAGAGGGTGGAAAAGTTTTTTGACAAACACCTATCTTAAGGATAAAGATGGAAAATTTCTTGAAGAGGCACCGGGACGGCCAACAAAGTATGCGACCTTCATTGATGAAGCAGATTGGGCTGAGTTTGTAAAGCAAAGAGATGAAGCTTTTCAGAAAAAGAGTGCCACGAATAGTGAGAGAGCATCCAAACCCGCGTATCCATACAAAAAATGGCGTTTGGGATATGCACGCTTAGAGGATAAAATTGTAAGTAAATAGAAATGCGTTTTAATTAATTGTCTACATGTGCATGTTTTAATTGACGATTTTATCGTTTGTGTCAATGCATAGTTAGAGGAGACTAAAAGTGAGGAAGCTTCACTTCCTGTACATGTGTTGTGGAAGGAAGCTCGTGTGGGCAAGAATCAAGCTGTCGATCCCGATGTTCAGAGAGTTTATACTGAATGTGTAAGTATAATACTGTGTCTTTAATTAAATCAAATGTTTTTTAATATATAAATGATTTTTTATCTCCACTAATAATTATTTAAATGTAAATGAATTACAGGAGACCTTGTCGCAATCGGCATCCACCGGTGAGGAGAGCGTACTTAGTAGAGTACTAGATGCTCCCGAGTATCCCGGTCGGGTGAGGGGTAAGGGTCATGGTGTGACTCCAACCTCTTTTTATAAGAGTTCTAGGAGAAGATCAAATCTTACCAATGAAGAAGTGTTGCAAAAGTTGCAGGAATTGCAAGCACAGGTCTCTGAATTGCAAAGAGATAAAGATATGTATATGAGAGAAAATTGCAACACTTCATCGGTGAGAGAAACTAGTGATAAGGCTAGTATCAACTATCAAAAGAAATTTCCCGAGGTAATTATAAGTTTTTTTCCTTACAAACTGTTCTATTTTATTAATGATAATGACTTTATATTTTCTATTTGTTTAGGGCATTTCATCTTGCCAACTATACTTATCGTCATCGAATTATCGACTAGTTGGCAAGGGAAAAGTGCACAACACTTCGGGAGATTTACTTCACCACAGACCGCTCCCGGATGGACACCTGAAAGTATCGGTGGATGTTGTATTAGATCGTGATGCGATTCTACCGGTACCTGACATGGTCTCAGAGACGACATTGCTGCGAGATGCAATAGGATCATTTGTTGCATGGCCCTCGGAGCTCATTACCATTAGTGATGAGGTATACTGAAAACGATTATGAATCATTTAGTTTTCGAATGTCAATTCTAAACCGTTTATTAATTATTTTTTACATTTTAATTTTAGACTGCTCCTATAAAACCCGCAATTAAGGGTAAAGGGATTTTACAGGAGGAGGAGTCTGTTGCATCACTAAAAGAGGTACATTTAAAGTGTTAATATATAGTCTGAATCTAAATCTGCATGATTTTATATTTTACCTAACTTATATGATTTTTAGGCATCCGCTCGGGAGTCACAACAAGTGACGCAGCAGGTTCGTAGCGTACCACCCACTGGTCCTCCGAAGCAAGCGGCAAAAAAAGGCGGTGCTTTTGTGCCTCGATACCGTTCGACACTCGCAACAATGGTTGATATGTCCGATTTGAAGGATGGTGGTTTACGTGAAATCAACATGGATGAAAGTGTCTTCGGTATTGAATTCCCGTCACATATTACAATTGATGACTTGGAAGAGATTTTTAGGCATGATCAACTAGGCGTCAGTAATATGCACTCATACATCCGGTAATATTCACTCATCCGATATATTATTTAATTAGTCCCACAATATAATTTATTTACACATTTCAATGAAAATAATCTAATGTTTATTATGTTTTTATTTAAGGTTGTTGTATGACAGAGTGTTGCGCGGGACTGCATTGTCTAACAGATTCCGTTTCGTGTCTTCCGCCCATTGCAGCGGAATGACAATTGCTTCGGAACCGGAATCAGTTAGACAGCGCTTAGTAGATAGATTCATGTCCACCGGTGTGATCGGTGGATCTGGAACTGACTGTTTTAAAGCTGGTTCGCGAAATGTCGCGGAAGCAAGAGTCGCCACCGTCTTTTATTTTCTCCAAATGGAAAGGACAAAAGCACAGAAAAATTCCTTAAAAGAGATTGCTCTCGGTTCGGGAGGTAGGTTATAGAAAGGGAAGGTGTTAGCACCCTTTCTATCCATGGTTATCCATGGGCTCTTAGATACTTGCTCAATGTGTTTTCAAAATGTTTGCTTGCTTTTCAATGTGGGTTTCAAAAATATTCTTTGAAAAGTTTCAGTTTAACTCGTACGTCAGAGTGTTTGAAAAATTTGCTTTGAAAGCTTTTGAAAAGTGTTGGTGTGAAAAGGTTTTTTTGTTTGTTTTTGAAGAGAGCAAGTATCCATGAGAACCTACCTACCCTAAGGAATTCGTCTGTGTAAATGTCCTTTAAAGTAGTGCCATCCCACCATTGAGAGGTAGGTAGCACCACCGTTGGAGGTGTTCGGGTCAATTCGAGTTTAGGGACATGGTGATCACCGGAGCAATAGGAAGACACCTTAGAAGCTACCCTCATGCCAGGTTCCCGGATCATGAGGACTTACTAAGACGTCTTCTACTCGACGATCACCTTTCGAAAGGCAACAGTGAGGCGCACCCTAGGGGTGGTGTGTGCGAATTGTGTGTCATTTTCAGTTTATTGTTTGTCTTGTCATGCAATGGTGATCTAACGATTTGATTTTATTTTTGGGCATTCATTCTTTCATGCATATTTATTAACAGTTAAAAGTGCGGGAATTTAAATCTAAACTATTACAACCGGCGCGGGTCCACATCGCCAAAAAAACCGAACCCGATTTGACTGAAAGTAAAATAAAGCGAATAAATAAAAAGTGCAAGAAATAAATCTAAACTTATTACAAGGCTTTGGGGCATATACAGAGTTATTTACACAATATAAAACAAATGCGCGAAATAAAGAGATTTAACAAAATTAGGGCGTTGGACCCTTTTACAAATAATTAAAATTAATCAAGGAATCTAAAATTAAAAATTAAATGAAAAATAATGTTTTTGTATTTTTTAGGTTTAAAAGAAAAAGAGAAAAAATTAATTAGAATTAAAGTGCTAAACCCTAGTTTTAATGTTTTTTAAGTTTATTATGAAAAAAGATTTAATTTCTAACCTAATTAACTTCTAAACTAATTTATGTACAATTTTTGATTTATAGAAAATAAATAATAAATAATAATATTGTGAGAAAAAGGAAAAAAATTAAAAAAGGATATAAAAAAATAATAATTAACCTAATTCTACATTTTTTGGATTTTTATTATGAAAAAAGAATTAAAATTAAAACTAAGACCTAATTAAACTAAATGAGTTACATTTTAATTTATTTATAAAAGAATCAAAATTAATTATATTTTTTTTTTGCCTTTTCTGTATTTTTAATGTTTTTTTATATTTTTGTAAAAATTAATTAAATCAGAAAGTAAAACACAAGTAAATTTAAAAATAATAGAATATGAAGAAAATTAAAAAAGAAAAAGGATAGAACCAGGAGGGTGTGGTCCCAAATTTGGAGGTGCAAGCCTGAAAAGCCTGGCCCATTTGCTGGCAATTTGTTGACTTTTTCCATTCAAGTGTGCGCCTGCTGACTTGATGTATGGTGCACTCTTCATCTTGGCCATGGATCTGAGGCCCTGGGACACGTGGAGGTTGAATTCTGATGGAGTATGGTGAGCATCAGTGTGAGCGCTGCATGTGAATTGGAAATGAAAAATAACATTAAATTTTGCAAGACCTGGGACTTGAACCCAGGTCATTGTGGTTACATGCGCGTGTCTTGGCCAGCTGAGCTAGTTAATTCATTCGTTATATAATAAACAAATAAATCATATAAAATAAAAGCAACACGCTAGTGACTTGAAGCGCGCGAACTTTGAATGGACAAGTCGCTGGTGGACACGTCTTCTTCTTCCTCGTGTCCCCTGTAACACAAACACATAAAGCAACGGTTTTGAAACGTAGTGTTAGGGAAGCTACAAAAAAATAGCGAATAGCTCGTTTCCTAATATAAATTAGGCGCGAGTATGTCTTCTTCTTCGTCTCAAGATGCTGAGTGTGATGGTGTTGCTCTGAAGTTCTGATTTTTCTTATTTACAAAAGCCCCAATTTAAGAAGCTGGAAAACCTAGAACATGAAAATGGTAAAATCGTGTATGGCTTATGAAAATGCAATTAAATACCATGAACAGCTTGGAAACTTTGTGAGGAACATGAATGTGTAATTAAAAATGCAAGAGGATGCGTAGAATCAAGAACACGAATTCAAAAATTTGCTGTACAGTTTCACTTGTAGATACCAGTTCAAGGAGTTTTGGAAGATGTTATGATTTGGGACACGTTCAGAATTGTCTCAGGAAGCTATTGGTACAAAAATTTTGGCTTGAAAAGATCCCTAGCATTGATTTCAGTTTTTCCTTATATGGCCAAATTTTCAAAATGTCCAATGGCTTTTGAACGAGTTTTTTGCTATGTTCCAGTTAGGGTTGGACTCAGTGATCATCATAGAATTGAATAGGCTTGCTATTTGACCTTAATCCAAGCTTGGGAAAGAATTGATCTTAGGGTTTCATCCATTAACCATTTTCCTTCTTTTTAGCCAAAACCTAGACCTAGTGTGCAAATGAACCTTAGCCTGATTTTTGAGTTGGTTCATGATACATAGAACTTGTCCAAGTTCATATGACACCATTTCATTGATTTTTAAATTTTATTTGAATTTTCAAAGAATTAAAATGAATTAAATCATCAAAAATTAAATAAAATAAAAAAGTCAACATTTGGTCTTGAAACTACTCATGGAACACGTGTGTGGCATGACAAGGATGAACAAAGTGAGAAAAATGGGGCCCTTTTGTCAAAATTGGATTTTCAAGGATAGTTGACTTTTGCCATTTCACAAAATTTTCCCAACTTCCACAAGGCATAACTTGCTCAATTTTTAAGATTTTCTCATGTTCTTGGACATTTTGGAAAGGTCTTTGAGTCCTTTAACCAATGCCTTTGGTCCCATGTCATTTTGATTTACCAATCTCAAGTTATGGTCTTTGACTTAAAGTCCCTTTTTGTTGACTTTTGAAAATGACCTGTAATGTTGAAATTGATAACTTTTTGTGAGAGCATTTCTTGGACTTGAAGTATGAAGATGAGTTGTAGGAAATGTCTTTCTCTTCAAAATGAGCTTTGGATGGAATTTTTCTGATAATCCATGTGAAAGTTATGCCCTGGTCAATTTCAGTTGACTTTTTCAACTGTCCAAATATAGCAACTTTTGCATCTTTGATGATTTCTGAGCCAAATTTTGAGAATCATGATCAAGCATTGATCAAATGATGTTTGTGGCTTCAAAATGATATATTGACCAAAAATTGGAACTTTTGACTGTCAAATGACCATTTTGCCCCTACAGTTGACTGTAGTGAAATTTAGGGTTTTGACTGTGCAATCTTGAGCTGAATGCCTTGAAACTTGATATGGGAATGCTTGACCATGTTTGTAAGCATATGAGACTTGATTGAGCCCTTGAAAACTTCCTTTTCTTGATCAGACTTGAAACCCTAATTTTGACTGTATGGGAAACTGTTGCACTGCACAACCCTTGGGGAACTTTCTAGCTTGGCTTGGCAATTTCTTGAGGAATATGGGAGGGCAAATTTTGGGGTATAACAGTTGCCCCTGTTCAATCTTCTTAGACCTGAGGATGCAGATTGGCTGACGTGCCTTTCGTAATCCGAGGGTAAAAGATGATTGGACACTAGAGTGCCCGGAAATTTGCGCTCACATGTTAGCAATGATAGGGGAATGGGCTTATAGATGCCATCTGGATGTTTGCTGGATCGGATGATGGGCTTATAGATGCCATCTGGATGTTGATCGCGTAGGAGATTCCTTAGCGAGATCCTGCATACCTGCAAAACAGAAAAATGAGTACCTGACACGTTGCAGGAGCTGATTTTTTTA